CCCAAGGGGAAGCTGGTATCTCTGCATTGATGGACATTTGAAGGGTCAACTAAATCACTGCCACAAAGATTGAGGGATGGTTTCAGGGGCAGGACAAGTCACAGTGGAAACTGCCTTCCCTCCAGTATTCACCATGCAAAGACTTTTTTCTTTGTCTTGTTCTTTCAGAGGAACCTCTGGAAGAAATGCAAAGATTTTGCTAAAGAATTTACACAAGGCTGGGTGCAGTGGCTCACACCTGTAATCCCAGCACTTTGGGAGGCTGAGGCGGTCTCAAAAAAAAAAAGAAAGAAAAGAAAAAGAAAAAGAATTTACACAAAGGGAATTGGCAATGGAAAATTTTTCAAGACAGAAGAATCTTTATTTTAAAGAGTTTGAAGATTTTTGGTGCAATGAAGCCTGCTTAAGCTTGCCACAGGGCAATTTCCTAGGGGGGCTAAAAAAAAAAAAAAAGCAACCATCTAATGTTCAAATTTCATTGGATTCACATTTTAAGAAACCTTGAGCCGTCTGACTCAGGCAGAAAAATTCTCCCTGTGGGGGCCTCTCCCGACACAGCTTTCCTATTAAGTGCTTAGGTTTACATATGTGATAAAGGTTTGTAAGAGCATAGATCTGGGTCTGATTTCCTTCTCACTTACTTTTCATGGTCAGTTTTGGCACTTTTATTGTAGGAGATGGATTTCTAGAGATGGAAGCCCAATGTGGATATTGTGCCTACAGGAAATAAAGATTCAATTGTGGTTGGCTCGCAAAGGCTTTGATCCAGGAATCAATTGGGTTATAAGTCGGAAGTGGCCAGTAATAAAATGCTGGCAAGAAGCCACTGGGCGTGGTGCCTGGAGTGCGTTCCTGGATGTATTTAAGAATAAAGAGAACAAACACCAGCAGTGCTGAATTTGCATACACACCTGTTCATCTGTCTGAGACTGGGCTTCGTATGCTATTTTTTTCTTTCTTTTTCTTAACAAGCAATGGTTTTGGATCTTTCTTTCTTTCTTTCTTTCTTTCTTTCTTTCTTTCTTTCTCTCTTTCTTTTTTTGGGGGGGGATGGAGTCTCCCTCTGTCACCCCAGCTGGAGTGCAATGGTGCGATCTCGGCTCACTGCAACCTCCGCCTCCCAGATTCAAGCGATTCTCCTGCCTCAGCCTCCCGAGTAGCTGGGACTACAGGCATGCGCCACCATGCCTGGATAATTTTTGTATTTTTAGTAGAGATGGAGTTTCACCATGTTGGCCAGGCTGGTCTTGAACTCCTGACCTCAGGTAATCCACCTGCCCCGGCCTCCAGAGTGCTGGGATTACAGGTGTGAGCCCCCATACCTGGCTGGTATGCTTTTCATCTAAATATCAGGTTTTTATTTTTTCCTGTCTGCATCATAGAAATTTGAAAAAAGATAGAAGGAGATCAAATAAGTCACTGCTCATTCCCATGACCATCAGTTTAACATTTTGGTGAATATTTTTTCCCAGCTTAATAAAGCAGCCACTGGCACAGTCACATCTATTTCGTACCCAAGGATCTTCAAAGGTTCCACATCTGTGGGTTTTTGGCTCACTCAATTTGCTATTTAATAGAATTCTCTTCATGTTTAATAACCCTCCTAATAGTCACAGAGTTAAAATAATACATTTTTATCTAGGAAATGCTTCAAGAACTTTCAAAAGACTGCCTTGAACAGGAAGCAGGAGAGGGCTTGTGTGCTTTACAAAGATGGCAGACTCAAAGGGAAAAGGGGGAGAATTAATTAGAAATACAAAGAAGAAAGAATGGAGAGAAAGAGGGAAGGCGGGGAGGGAAGAAGGCACTGGAGAATGGGGAAAGTGGGTTTGGGTTGGAACTTCTCTCCATCCCTTCATCCCTCCATCCTTCCAACTCCACAGAAACCTGGGGGCAGGTGGGGCAGGGAGGATTCAGGGATAGAAAGAAGATGAAGGCAGGGAGGAGGAAGAATGGGGAGGAGAGAGAAGGAATGGAAGATGCAGGGAGGGAAGAAGGAGGAAAAAAGAACAAAGAGGAAGGAGGCAGGGAGGATGGAGGGAAGGAAAGAGGGAGGATAGAGGAAAGCTGGAAGAGGAAGTTGGAGGGAGGAGTGTGGAGGTTAGAGGGAGCGATGGAGGTGGGAAGGATGGAGGGATGGAGAGATGTTGGAGGGAGGAAGGACAGAGGAAGGACAGAGGGAGGAAGGACAGATGAAGGAGGGAGGAAAGACAGAGGGAGGAAGGAGGGAAGGACAGGTATTATTTGCCAATTTGACAGCCGAAAAAGGGAAAATGGGGAAAAGGGACCCTCGAGTTGGCCAGGTAGGTGTGCTGACCTTAAGAAGGAGCATTGAGACACATCAGAAACTGCCAGGGCCAGGAAAGGGGGGCTGGCTGGAGAGAGGGTGAGGAGCAGGCCTGCAGCCAGCGGGGCACTCCCTCAGAGACTGAACCTCAAGGCCACAGGCCACAGGTGGCCACGAAGGTAGAAGACGGGAGATCCTCCAAATGGTTAAGCAAGTGAGAACTCTCTGCCCACCAGGCATCTGGCCTTGACTCACACTCAGGAATCCACCGGCAGAAAGACAAGCAAAGCCATTTTTCATGCAAGAGGAGTTGGACATCAGGAAAAATCAGAGCCCCTTTGTATGACATGCCAAACTGCTGAAGCGAGAAAATGTCTCGGGCGAAGGCTCAGATGCGAGGCAGGGACAGTGTGCTCGCCCTGGGGAACCTGGGCCGTCAATGTGCACTTGTTATCAGGCTTTTCAGAGCTGAGGGCCGGAAGCAATCTCAGGGCATCCCTCCCCCACTGCAAGTTAATGATGAGCTGGTGACACGGCCTTGGCCGGACTGTCCGGCCCCTGGAAGGGAGCCTGGGTGTCCTGAAATGTCCTCAGGGAGTCTTTGGGGATCTGTGTCCTTTTCCTTGCCTGCGCTTTGGTGTGTCGGGGAGGGGTGAAGTGGGCAGGAGGAGTCCTGGGAATTAAGAACCAAAGCCCCGCTTCCTCCAAGACCCATCTCCACTCTGGGTCCCCTTCCCTGTCCCCATGTGCCATGTATTTTTTGGGTTAGCAGATGAGAAGAACTACCATGCACTGAACACACGTTTTGCCAGCTCTAAAGCAAGCACTTAGATACTTTATCGTGACTCCTGCCAGACACCGTGCAGAGCAGGTATTGCTAAAACCCCATTTTGCAGAGAAAGCAACTGAGGCTCAAAGCAGGTGCAATGACTGGCTTAAAGCCCCACAGCTAGTAGGAGGCAAAGCCTGGATTCAAACTCCGACTCACTCTGGGGTCTGGGCCCTTTACCACTATGGCCTATCTCCTCTCCAAGATGCCGAGCATAAGAGTTTATTTCAAGTCTATGGTCAGACAGATGTATGGGGAGCCATGTGCTTATTTTTTATCTGATTCTCTTGACAAGCCTATGGGACAGGCCTCCTTAGGGCGCCCGGGAGGAGCCCCTGGCATCTAGGACGTGTTCTGCTGCCCTCTCCACATCATGCCCTGTGTGCTCTCCTTCCTGCTGCTGGTAACCCAGTGTTGCCAGAACCAGAGAGTAAGTACCCTGGGGGTTTCTGTGCCCATGATGCCCAGCCCAAAGCCAGGCCCTCAGCAGGTCCTCCACAAACACTTGAGGATGACGGAGTTTTAAGTAACTCTGCTCTCCAAGGAAGCCCCCGGCCCTGCAGGTGCATTTGGTAGCTCTCAGAGAAAACAAGAGAGAGGTGGGGTCTGCTTCCACACTCAGCTCTGCTCCCCACCCCATGCAAACATATTTAATTGTTCTGATCATCTGATGAGATGGCAGAGGGGAGGTCTACCATTATATCCCCACTGTATGGACCAGAAGATAACAGAGGCCCAGAGGGGCTAAGGAACCTGCCCAAGGTCACAGAGCGAACACAAGGCCAAACAGGATTCAATTGCAGGTCTCATTGATACGCCGCCCCCAACCCACTGTCCTATTTACCATCATACAGACAGTTCAGTTGTCATCTTCGACTCCCTTCTGCACAGGAAGCTCCTGGAGAGTCAGACAGTGGGGTGGGGCTGGATCCACGGGCTTTGGGGATCAGGAAAAGAGCCTGACTTTATCACAGAGGGATGTGGTCTCACGGGAGGGTACTGAGCTGGGGAACGATGTGATCTGGTTGATACTTTTACAAGAGCTTTCTGGCTGTGTGTGGAGACCAGGGAGAGTGACCAGTCAGGACTCTACAGCAGCATCCAGGCAAGATATGACAGAGGCAGGAGTGCGCTGAGATGGAGAGAGAGGGAGGGAAGGCAGGCGGTGGCTGTGTGCTGGAGGTGGAGCCCACGTCTAGGGAGGGCGTAAGGACCCGGAGGGGTGTCTCGGGGAAAGAGGCTTCTGTCTCTGCTGGGTGCGGAGCAGGCTCTCAGCATTTGCTGGATGGATGAACTGGCGACTGAGTGGGCTGGAGAGGGAGGGGGCAGTGTTGTCCAAAGTGAGGCCACAGTGGCCGGCGGGCACAGCTGATGTGTGAGGTTTGCCACCAGCAGGCTCCTCCTTGCCAAGGTGTCAGAGGGAAAAGACACCATGGCCAACAGTGTTTCCAGGAAAATGAGCCTGAAGTCACTGTGTCCTGTGTGGTGCCTCTGTGGGGACACGGCCACCATGATTCTCAGCACTTTTCCAAATATTCTCAGCTGGGATATTCACAGAACCCTGGGGGCAGGGTCGGGTAGGGAGGACTCAGGGATAGAAAGAAGATGAAGGCAGGGAGGAGGAGGAGGATGGGGAGGAGAAAGGAGGAATGGAAGATACAGGGAGGGAGGGAGGAGGAAGAAAGAATAGAGGAAGGAGGGAGGGAGGATGGAGGGAAGGAAAGGAGGATGCAGGATGATAGAGGAAAGCTGGGAGAGGAAGTTGGAGGGAGGAGGGTGGAGGGAGGAGGGAGGGGAGGATGAAGGGAGGAAAGACATAGGGAGGAGGGAAGGGAGGACAGGTATTATTTGCCAATTTGACAGCCGAGCAAACTGAGGCTCTAGGAGGTTGAGGGACAAGCTGAAGACTGTCCAGATGGCTAGTGGCGGAGTCAGGAGCAGGCCGCAGTCCCCTGACTCCAATCCTGAAGGTTTTTACTCCGGTCCCTTGTCCTCCTTTACCCTGGCCCTCACCCTGAGACACTGGGGAGTTCACAGCTACAGCCTTGAGCCTGAGGCAGCGGGGCTCTGGGCAGGTGTCGGTCAGTGACAGTGGAATGGTCAGTGACAGTGGGATGCGCAGGTCAGCCTCAACCTCATGAGCGCTGTCTCTGCTTCTGAGCACCAATCTGGGCACTCAGTTCCCACCCCTGAGGCTACTGGAAGTTCCCCAGTTCCTCTCTGCCTCCCTGGGGCCAGGCTGGGGCACTTGGCAAAGTCACTGTGCCAGAAAATGTGATGTTGGGAACACACCCCTGGGTGGCTGCCACCCCCAGCCAGGGCACAGCCTGCATGCCAGGCCCTCTTTTGGCTCCCAACTGAGAGCCTCAGCCTCTGATTCTGCAGTTCACATGAGCCTTTCAGAGCCACCCTGCCTGAGAGATGAGGAGATCACACTGTGGCCTCCACTGGGGAGGCTCAGCTTCCTCCATTCCTGAACTCCAGAGGGCTGGCTAGCTGACCTGGGGCAGCTTACAAAGTCTGGGCAACTTATGTCTCCTGGGAAAAATTCCAAGAGTCAAGAAACATGAAAATAGAATGTAATGCTATGTTTTGAACATCTACAAGGTACCAGGCACGAGAAGGTCTTTTCCATGTTTTTCTCATATAACTTCACCACAACCCCAGAGTTGATTCTATGATGCCCCTAACTTAGCAATGAAGGAACTGGACTTCAGAGAGTTTAGGTAATTTGTCTGAAGACACACAGCTGACAAGTTTCGGAGTCTGGACTCAAACCTGGGGCCACATGGCTTCAGTGCTGGCTGGCTGATGCCGCTGCTTCCATGTGGACTAATGTAGGGGAGGAGAGGGGGAGCTGGAAGAAAGATCCAGCCTCCCTGTGTCCCTGGGGCCAGGAGGTGACAGATGCTAGTGGCAGGTGAGCCAGGGAGACTGATGATTTTTGGTCATTTGGTTTTTCCCGGGCTCTGTCCGGAGCTGAGCTTGAGTCAAGAAACTGCCCTCTGCCTTGCCTCATTCTCTTTCAGAAATGGGGTGATGGCGGTAGAAGGAGAGGCAATTAAATAGCATTTCCTAACACCTCCACCTCTGTGGGCTTGCTGTGGTAGCAGGGAGCAGAGTTGGATGTAGTGACAGCGGAGAGCTTGCTCTGGGTCTGTAGTCCTCAGAGGTATGGCATGGGGGTGGGGTGGAGGAAGGGCGTGGAGGCGCAAGGGCAGCTCCAGTTAAAATCCAAAGCCCTTATAAGCCCACACACCATGAAGCCATCTACTGCTGCAGCTTCCACGTGGACTAATCGGGGAGGAAAGGGTTTGATTCAAGTCCAGGTCCAGACAGAGCCTGGGGAAAGCCTGCAGAGAGCCCGGAGTCTGTGGGGGCGGAAGTGTCTGCTTTGTAAAAACCGGGGTGCTTCACAGGAAGGGTCCCCTGTGCGTGGTGGAGGTTGGCAGCTCAGTTGTCATTGTCTCCATCTCACCAGCTAACACCCAGGAGCCTCGAGGAACGCAGACAGCAGGGACTGCTCTGATTCCACCCAGAGGAATCCTAACGATCACTCCGTGCGGGGCATCCAGGGGTACGTGCTGGGCACCTTCGCATTCACTGCCTCATTATCCGTCATTTTCCAGATGTCAACAAGAACTCAGAGAGGTTACCTAACCTGCCCAAAGCTACACAGTTGCCTGGAAACTGGTGGTTTGAACTCTAGGGGTCCAACCCCAAAGCTTGACCTCTTTCCCCTCCCCCAGGCTGCCTTTTCAACAGAGTCCATTTTAATAGAATGCCCCTTGAAAGAGGGGGATCATTTCTTCTAGGCCTCTGTATCAGGAAGAGCTGGGCTCCTATTATGAAATACTCTCCTTTTATTGTATGTCACCTGTGAACACATATCTGGCCATGCTCCTTTCTTTGTCCTGGTCCCCAGGAAGCTCAGAGACAAAGCTGTGGCCTGCCTTGGCCCCCAGCTGGCCTCTGCAGCCGGTCCTGTGGACATTAGCCGGATGCAGCCATCATCTCATTTTCCAACTTGATTTTCCCATCCCCCCGGTCCCTCATCTTTTAATTTATCTTGTTCCTTTCTTTCTTTTACGGTTGGAGGAAGAAGTGAACAAACAGTAAAGTCATGGGATGTCATTTTTGCAGCTTTGAAAAATTTTTCATAGGAAGAAGTTGATATGCTAGAAAAAAAGTCCTTTGTCTGGTACCATGCCCTGCCTTGCAGTGCAGGAAAGAGGGTCTCATGCAGTACTTCCCGGGGTATCCTGGGGTATCACAGGGATGCAGAACAAGAATTGGGGGGTGAGGCGGGGTGTTGGAGGCAGATCCACGCGGGCCCTCCCTGGGGGTTAGAACCAGTTTGTTCCCTTTTTGAAGCTGTTTCCCAGGAGAGCAAGCCCATGAGACCGCTGGGGAGGGCATCCTTGTTGAGGGGAGGCTGTCATGGAGGGCAGCGCCACCTCTCTGCGAGTGCGCGCAGGTGAACCTCAATGGAGGCCGGAGGCACAGAGGCCATGGGAGTGAGTTTCCATCGGTGTTCTGTGACTATTGCTGCCCCATGCTACGGTGGCTGTGTGTTGCTCCACCTTTGCCCAGGTGTGCACCCAAGGGGAGGTTACGCTGGGACAGAGCCCCAGCCAGGCAGCCCCATGGCCACTTTCTGCTCCTGAGCCATGTGACCTTGGGTAAGTCACTCTGCCTCACCCATCTTGAGCTTCCTGGGCTTGCACAGCCTAAGAACTGGGAAGCATCAGTGGTTGGCAGCCCCAGGGTGGACATCTGCTGGGCATTGTGGGCAGGGTAAGCATTATTATGAATAAAGGAGGGGCTGGCCCCTAAGGGGATGCCAGGTCATCCCATTAATATGATCACTTCCCCCACTTGGGTTCCATGTGCTTCTTCTCTCTTTTCTTTTGAGATGGAGTCTCACTCTCTTGCCCAGGCTGGAGTGCAGTGGCACCATCTCAGCTCACTGCAACCTCTGCTTCCCAGGTTCAAGCAATTCTCCTGTCTCAGCCTCTTGAGTAGCTGGGACTATAGGTACACACCACAATGCCCATCTAACTTTTGTATTTTTAGTAGAGAAGGGGTTTCACCATGTCGGTCAGGCTGGTCTCAAACTCCTGACCCTAGGTGATCCACCTGCCTAGACCTCCCAAAATGCTGAGATTATAGGTGTGTACCACCATGCCTGGCCTTTTTTTTCTTTGAGACAGTCTTGCTCTGTTACCCATGCTGGAGTGCAGTGGTGGGATCTCAGCTCACTGCAAATTCTGCCTTCTAAGTTCAAGTGATTCTCCTGTCTCAGCCTCCTGAGTAGCTGGGATTACAGGCATGCACCACCACGGCTGGCTAATTTTTGTATTTTTAGTAGAACATGGGATTTCACCATGTTGGCCAGGCAGATCTCGAACTCCTGTCCTCAGATGATCTGCCCACCTTGGCCTCCCAAAGTGTTGGGATTGCAGGTTTGAGACATCACGCCTGGCCCCATGTGCTTTCTCAAAGGGAAGAGAAGTGACTGGAATTCCAGTTACCAGGAATCGTGCCTGCCCCCTCTGCCCTCTGTCCCTGCAACCCTAAACAATGCTTCCCCTAGACTGGAGAGATTCTCCACAGGGGCAATTTTGTCCTTCAGGGACATGTGGCAAAGTCTGAGCCCATTTTTGGTCATCACAGCTGGAGAAGGAGGAGCGCTACTGGTTCCACTGTAGGGAGGCCAGGGGTGCTGCTAAATGCTTTTGGTACACAGGACAGCTCCTGTAGCAGAGAATGATCCTGCCCCAGAGTCAGTAGTGCTACCGCTGGGAAACCCTGCCCTGCTCTGAGCCGCAGCTGAGGCTGAGCCCATAACCGTTGGGGCTCCTGAATTCTGCCCTATGGAACTGTCCAGCACTACTTCCTACTTCCGGCTGTGAGGTATCAGGTAGTAGTGTCAGGATCTGGCACCCCCATGGGCATGCCTTTGGCTTTCTTTCCCACAACTGCTCCTTCTTCCATCTTTCCCTACTTGGCCATGGTGCCATCGCCTGGCCAGCTGCTGTGGCCCCAAATCTGGAAGGTCACCCTTCATTCTTCATCCCCTTTTCTGGGCCATCCCTCCACTTCTCCCACCTCTGCTGCTGCCACATGGCCCCAGGTCTCCAGCCTGCCACAATCTCCAGACGAGTCACCTGGTAGCCTCCCCTGTCTTCTGGTATCTCCATCTCCAAATGGAGCTGGAAGGTCTGCTAAAAACATAGACAGGCCAGGCACAGTGGCTCATGCCTGTAATCCCACCACTTTGGAAGGCCAGGGTGGGTGGATCATGAGGTCAGGAGATCAAGACCATCCTGGCTAACATGGTGAACCCCATCTTTACTAAAAATACAAAAAATTAGCCAGGCATGGTGGTGTGTGCCTGTAGTCTCAGTGGCTGGAGAATGGCCTGAACCTGGGAAGCAGAGGTTGCAGTGAGCCGAGATCACACCACTGCACTGTTGCCTGGGCGACAGAGTGAGACTGTCTCAAAAAAAATCCCCAAAACCAAAAAACAAAAACATAGACCAGACCACTGTACTTCCTTGTCCCAAGTTCTTCAATGGCACTGATCTCATATGAAATAAAGCAGGCTTCTGACCCTGACCTCGGAGCCTCCCCAGGGCCACTCCCTGGCCTCCTCCTCACTCCCTCTCCTGCATCCTCATCAGGTTCCCTCCTGCTCGGGGCCTCGGCTTGCCCTTTCCTCTTCCTAGAAGGTTTTCCCTTCAGGTCCTTTTTGTGGATCAGGTTTTGGCTTACACATGGCCTTCCCTGACAGCTTCCCATCTCCTAATCAGCCAATAGCAGCCCCTCCAGCCACTCCCCACACACCCCCTACTCTGTTTTCACCATAACACACCTCAGCACCTAGAAGTGTCAACTGCCTCATACATAGGAATATCCATTCCTGAAGAGCAGGGACCTGTCTGTCCTGTCTGTGGCTGTGACCCTGAACCCTGCATGTCTGATATAGACCAGGTGTTCAGTGAGCCTATGCTGAACGAATGAAGGAGGGACAGTGGCATGCCCAGCAGGCGGGTGACTTATAGCCTGTGTATGTGTCTTAGCAGCAAAAGGGTGGAGAGCCACTGAACTAAGTAGCCGCCAAGGCTGTTCTGGCTGGAAATCCCCTCCTCTGGCAATGACCCTCCATGAGACCACACCGACCCACCTTCAACCTAAAAGCTATGGGCAGAGGCTCTCTGGGGCATGTGTGACACAAAGTGAGAAGTAGAAGGAGTATTCCAGATCAGCCGGGCCCCAGTTTTCAGATGAGGAGACAGAGGCCCACCAGCCCCTTCCCCGTGCATTGCTGCTCCAGTTTGGCTGTGGCCCCCTCGCCTCTGACACTCAGGGTGTGGTGACCCAAGGCCCCTTCCTACTCAGCACTTCTGTTACTATGTCCTGGAAATCCTGAGTCTGGGCTGTCTGTGGAGACTGACACAGGGGGTTTATTTGAAAGATCTGATTTTCCTATTGAGATTTTTTTAAAGTCTGTGACACGGGGTTCCTCCAAAGCTGGCTCTGTAGTGGAGCCATTAAGTCAATCTGCAGGCTGGGGTCCACTTAGACCACCAGCTTCTCCTCACTAAATCAGCTGGCTCCAGTTAAAAGGAGCTAGTGTTTCCTTATTAGAAGAGAGAAAGGATTAAAGAACAGAAGAAGGTAGAGAAGAGACAGAGAGTGGAGCATTAGGGGAAGGCAGACCTGAGACGGGACCCTCAGGGCCCCTTCCTGAATGATTAAAGAGTAAGCAACAGTTGTAAAGCAGAGACAGGAGAGAACATATCTGTGATGGACTCATGCTTGTGTGTCCCCAAAATTTATATGTTGAAGACCTAATCCTCCATGTATACAATGGTATTTGGAGACAGGGCCACTGGGAAGAAATTAGATATAGATGAGTTCGTGAGGGACATGGTCAGATCAATGCCCTTATAAGGACGGACCAAAAAGCTGGTGCCCTCTCCTCCTCCATGTGAGCATTTTGAGAGGATGATGTGGCCCCAATGTCAGCAGTGCTAAGGTTGGGAAACCCTGCCCTGGTGTGAGGGCGGCTGATGTTAAACCCACAGCCCTTGGTGCTCCTGAGTCATGCCTTAGGGAACTTGTGTGAAGAAGCCGGCTACCTAAGCCAAGAAGAGGCACCTTCATCTTTGACTTCCCAGCCTCCAGAACTGTGAAGAGTTCACACCTGTGGTCTAAACCATCCAGTCTATCATATTTTATGATGTCAGCCTGAGATGACTGTAACAACCCCCTACCCGCCCCTTCCCAAATCTGCACGGTTCCAGTAAAGGATTTCCCCTGACCAGTGTACCAAGAAGAGCTCCTAAGTTCCACCTTGGCCATGGTCCGGACAATAGAAGGCAATACTCAGGAGCTGTATACATCTTAAACCTCATTTTCTACACCTAGGACAGTAGATAATTAATATCTACCTTGAGGTGCTGTGGGCAGTTACATGCACGAGTTAGAGTCCTGCATGAAGCTCTTCATAGTGATGGCGGTGACGATTACCCAAGGGCAAAGGGGGTCCAGAGTGAGGATTCTAGCTGGCAGCACTTGGTGCATCAGGGAAGAGCCTGCTCTGGCACTGTCACCTACCTGGGCCTCGCTGGACAAGCTGCCTCTGGGTTATTTCAAGAGAAAATGAGAGTAAACACAGATAGGAAAAGTTTCAAGCCCAGCGCCAGGCCTGGAGTCGGTGGAGAAAGGCCGTTTGGATCAAACCTCTCTGAATGGTCCTGTGTTGGGAGTGTGGTTTAAGACAGAGCCATGCAGGCCGGGCTTTGTGGTGGCTCACACCTGTAATCTCAGCACTTTGGTAGGCCAAGGCGGGTGGATCACCTGAGGTCAGGAGTTCGAGACCAAACTGACCGACATGGAGAAACCTCATCTCTACTAAAAATACAAAATTAGCTGGGTGTGGTGGTGCATGCCTGTAATCCCAGCTATTCAGGAGGCTGAGGCAAGAGAATTGCTTGAACCCAGGAGGTGGAGGTTGCAGTGAGCCGAGATAGCACCATTGCACTCCAGCCTGGGCAACAAGAGCAAAAGTCCGCCTGAAAAAAAAAACACAAAAAACAGAGCCATATAGCTGACCCACCAGGAAGGAGTTTCAGGAAACTCTTTGGAAAGAGTGAGCCTCCCACCTGCGGGCAATGGGCAGGGCTCGGGGCAGCTGGGCCCTCTCAGGAGACATCCATGGCTGTCTTTTTGCTCCCCTCCCCAGGGTGTGGGGCTACTGTTTCCTCTTCCTCAGTGTGCCATGGTGGGAAGAAAGGCTGGGTACACTGGTGTGCAAGATCCTGCGGTGAGGCTGGTGAACGTGACTGGGTTAAAGAACTCCTCCGCGCTCAGGTTCCAGAACCTTCTCCATATCTTCCCCCACTATTGCACAGCACAGAGCTGGCACAAAGCAGGCATGGGGGCCATCCCTGGCCTCAAGGCTGCTATATTAAGGCCCTGGCAGAGCTGTGGGCATGCTGGAGGCAGCTTCTCCTTTAGTGATGAGAGGTTGGGGGAGGGGCAAGGCTAAGACTCCCGGACCCTGGAGCTGTCTTTGGGTGGAGAGCTTTCGATGGCAGCAGGGGATCTGAGTGGCTCTAGTGGGTTCTCTAGAGTTGGTGTGGGAGGCAAGGCCTTGGTAAGTGGCACAAGCTGCTGTTGTCTAAGCCCAAAGTCTCTTCTTCCCTTCCATGTCCCCAGAAGTCTTCAGTCCCTGGCAATAGTACCTGCTCTGTGATGTTTGCTTACATTCTATACCCACGGAATTCCAAAATGCATGAGATTGAACAAATGTTGGCTGATGATGCCTTTGGAAAACCTTGAAAAAAGGTTTGCTACCCCTTTCCTATGTCCCGAGGCTTGGCTGGGTCTCACCAAAGATACAAAGAATGAGGTGAGTGTCTCAGAAGGCGGGCAGCAGATGACTGACTGCAGTGACTAGTCCAGCACCCAGGGGAAGGCGAGAAAAAAGAGAAAGAGGCAGAGACAGTGACCGAGAGACTGAGAAACAGAGATTGTGAGAGAGACACAGACATAGGGAAAGACTGAAAGAGAAAGAGGAAAAGAGGAGAGAAAAGGACAGGAGAGGAGAGGAAGGGAAGGGAGGAGGAAGGGGAAGGGAGGAGAGGAGGGAGAAGAGGGAGAGCAGGAGGGAAAGGGAGGGATGGAGGAAGAGGGGGAGAGGAGAAGTGAAGGGAGGAAGGGAGAAGAGAGAAGAGGAGGACAAAAAGAGGAAAGGAAAAATAAAGGAAGGGAAGAGAAAAGGAGACGAGAAAAGGTGTGTTATGCAATTTGTGTATCTGTTGTGCTCACTTCTAATGCCTTCATGCTGCCACCAGCCCAACCTCAGAGCTGGGCTCCACTGGGTAGTCAAGTACTTGGTTCTATTTTTAATGGCAACCCAGAAGCTGTTTGAGAAAAGGCAGGACGATCTGGTGAGAAGAGCTTTGTAGTGAGATAAAGGCTCCAATCTGGCCCAGCTGCCTCCTACCTGGGCACCTCTGGGCAAGTCCCTGAACCTCTCTACACCTCCCTTGCTCATCTGCAGACAGGGGTGAAGACAGTGCCCTCCCAGGGCTGTCATGGGCAGGCCACATGGTAATGTGCACAAGGCTCTACACACTTGAGCATTTTGACATTTTCCAGCAGAGGGACAGGTAGAAGGGAGAGACCTTGATTTGAGGGGTAGAAAGAGGCTAAGACAAGGCCAGCCCTCGTGAAGCTGGGAGCAGCAGTCTTTTGCACGCAGCCCTGCCAGAAAGCACGGATGCCTTAAGTACCCAAAGGGCTGGGCTTCCTGGCCCAGCAACATTATTTATCATTATTTATAAGACACGAACGTGAAACGGAATCTGTCATTTGCCAGTTGCCAGCAAAGCCTTCAGAGTTCTGCCATTACACTCGGAGTCTTATTAGTTGTCTGTTGCAGCATTTCTTCAGTTTCAGCCCAGAGGTTTGATTTTTTTTCTTTATCTTCTGTTCATTTTGCTCTGGAGGTAATGCTTTAAGATACTTTTCTAAAGAACAGGTGGAAATAATGCATTTTATACATGAAAGCCAACATGGAGGTAACTCTCCCTCCACGTCCCCGGAAAGTGGCCTAGGGTTAAGGTGCGTCCCAGGCCTCAGCTCTGGCTACTTGCTGGCAGGTGGAGGCATTGTAGGAGGTGAGGTGTCAGGTGGTAGATAGCTGCTGGTCTAGGGATGTGCTTTTTATGAGATAAGCTGGCAGTTCCCACCCAGGTTGAGGGACAGTCACAATGATTCTAGCCAATGAATCTTGAACCCACTCTCCCAGCCCTGGGTCCCACGAGGATGTTCTGGACCTCAGAAACCCTGAGCTTTGGGGAATCACACAGGCAGCCCAGTTCTTTCAGCGAGGTCCCCCAGATGGCTCCCTGTGCTACTGGAGCCAGCTGCCCAGATCAGCTCTGGGCTGTCTTGTTGAACACCAAAGTGCAAATGGCTGGAGGCAGCTGGCAAGATGCTAAGTGCAGCATTAATCCTAATTAGGATGAGGAATTAATAAAGGAAGCCAGGCTTGCCGGCGCAGAGGAGTTAGTTTCAGAATTTCCACTGGGAAGCTGGAAGGCCCTGGGTCCACGCATACCTTTGGGTCATGCCAGTGGCATGACTTATGACTTACTGTGCCAGGCAGATGGCACCCAATGGAACTTGCTTGTGAGGTAGAGTATGGAGCATTGCAGTCCCTGCTCTGTAGCCAACTCAGGTGCTGTGGCAGGTAGTGACGTGGGTACATTCTCCAGAGCAGAGGAGTAGGTGTTCATGATCAGAGCAATTGAACACCAAAAAATGATGTTTTTCAAAAGAAAAGACGAGGGTGTGATCGTGAGCCCACTGGCTCTTTTGTGTGTTTCTCTAACTACTGATTGCACATTTCTGTTACCTGAAGATGCCACTCAGCCCTGGCATTATGCTCCAAATTGCAAAGGGCACACAGCCTTTTTTGGGAGTGGGGGTGGGAGACAGAGGTGGGCAGGATTCCCGATGAGATGAGAACAAGCATGGTCTGGAGGGGGAAAGGGGGCCAAGTTGACTTCACTCAGCAGACCCAGCTTCACAAAGCCTCTTTTCAGAGGACTTCAAATGCGGCCAGAAAAGGGCTATGGTTTTAAGAGCTCCCTGCTAACCTCTACCAAGAAACAACCGCGGCTGAATTCTGTGCAGGGGCTGGAACTGCAGTAAGGAAGGCTAGGTATGTGGGAGAACTTCCCGAATAACTGAGGGGCGGAGCTCACACTAGGGGAAAGGTTACAGAAAAAGAAAGAGGGAATTCTGTCCAAGGGGTTTTTGAAAAATCAAAGGAAAGCCCCCACCAGCTCCCTCCACCCGGTCCCTGATCTGAGAGCGACGCTTAAGCAGCAGACCTGTGCCCAACCTGGCTGCGACCAGGCAGCCCCTCCCCAGCCACCTGTTCAAGTTCCGCAGCCGGGCAGAAGGGCGCCCGGAAGGCACCGAAGCTGAGCGCATTTTGGCGTTGGAGGCATCCAGGCCCCTCCCCAGGAGGGAGCTGTCCCCATAGTCCCGGGGCGAAATCCTGGCCCCTAGAGGCATTCCAACCTCTTGACACCCACTACGCGGCCTCCAGTCGCATCTGGGGGTCGCAGCGCGCAGCTCGGATGAAACGACCACGCCCCTCCCAGGCTGCTGACAGTCCGCGGATCGCCCCTGCACATCCCCGTTTCCTATTGAGGTCTCCTGCAGCCTTCCTGCTGAGGGTCCGTGACCGAGGTCGCTGTCTCCACTGGGGGAGACTCGGGGTCACTCCCCTCGCTGCCCCAGCGCACAGCGAGAAGCTGGCCAGTGGCTCTGTGTAAGACGAGGCGGGCATCGGGCTGGGGCTACCCAGCTACCCTAGATCCGCTCGGCACCCAGCCCCCATCCCCGTCCCGACCGCGCCCCCCCTAACCGCGCCCCCGCCCCTACTTCTGCCCTCACCCCTCAGCCGGAGCCGGGAACGAGCACCCAGCGGCCCCGAGGTGCCCCACCCCTGGCCGGCCCCGCCCCAGGGTGGCCAGTTCCCATAGCAATCGCACAGACACCGGTTGCCCAGCAACCCCTCCCCCTCCCGTTGGCTCCCCCAACCCCAGCCTCCTCCCGCCCCCTCGTCAGCCTCCACCTCCCCCAGGGGTGCCAGCGCAGCCCCTGGGGATAGCTGGGGTCCTGGGGTACGCGCGCACGCGTGAGTTTCGGTGTGTTTCATTGTGTCTGTGGGCGAGGGGGTGTGCGTATGCGCGTGGAGAGTTTGTGGGGTCGGTGTGCTGGGGAGGACCCAGCTGGGAGGGACGGGAGCTGATGCACAGCTGGCCGCGAGGGAACCCACCCGCCCGCTCAGGCTCCTTTGTGTCTCGCGCGGAGCCAGCGCCGCGCCCACCCCCTCCCCGGCCCACGCCCCGGGCAGTGTGTGCGCGTGTGTGCGAGCGCGCGCGCGCGCGCGTGTGTGTGTGGCGGCGAGGGGTCGGGGCCGGCCGTACCTTCGATGCAGCACACCCGCCACAGCCCCGAGTGGGTGAGGTCGCCGCGGGCGCGGCGGGGCGGGGGCCCGTCGTCCATGGTCAGGTTGGTGCCGTTGCAGATGTGTGCGCTGGAGTAGAGCCAGTAGTCGGTGCCGATGGCGATGGCCATGAGCGAGAAGGCGGCGAAGGCTCCGGCCGTGGTCAGCAGCATCTGCAGCCCGCGGTCGCATCGCACCATGGTGGGCGCCTCATAGTCCGCCGCCCGCCGGCCCGGCCCGCCCGCCCTCCTCCCTCCGCGCGCCTCTCCGGGGGCGCCGGGGTTGGGGGGCCGAGGGCCGGGGGGCGGCGCCGCGCTGCGCGCTCCGACCCCGCGCCCCGGGCGTGCCTGCGCTCCGGCCGCGCTGGGGCTCAAACTCCGAGGCGCGGCGGCGAGTGCGGGCTGCGCGGGCCGCCGGGCGGGCTGGCGGCGGCGGCAAGGGGCTCCTCCCTCTGGGCCCGCCCTCCCCACTCGGCCCGCGCCTCCGCCCCGCGCCCTCCTCGCCTCCCCCGCCGCCGCCGCCGCCGCCGCCGCCGCGCTCCAGGCCCGCGCCCCGCTCCTCTCGGCGCCGCCCCTCGCTCCTCGGGCCCCCGCCCGGCTGTGCGCTCTTCTGCGCTCCCCTCTCCCCAGCCCGGATTTTCTCCCCCTCGCCTCCCCCTTTCCCCGCGCCCGCGCGCGCTCTCTCTTCCTCTCCCATGGTTCATTCACATTATTGGAGCGAAGGAAGCCGAGGGAAGGGTTCCCCAGGAGGACCGAAGGGAAAGTGCGTCTCCAGCCACCTCTCTTACCCGCTCAGGACACCTGGCCTCCCCTCCGACGGCCCTGAGGATTAATTTGTGGAGGAGGGCGTGGGTGGGTGTGCCCCTCCTTTCCCCTCTGTGTCTGTTCACCTGGTGATAAAAGGTGAGTGCGGGAGTGCGTGTTCAGGTCAGAATTCCCGAAACCCTAGATGTGGGTCACGCCGCCAGACCTCGCAAGGCACCCGGGCCCAGTGCAGGTGGTTCCTGCTCCTCTAGATCCCCCTGCAGGGCCTGGAAGGACCCTGACTTGGGGTTGAGGGAGAAAGGCGATGTCAGCGAGAGGTCCTTTGGGGAGAACACATGGTCCCTGCTTTCCAGAGTGGTGGCAAGGCTGAGATTGAAGATGGGGCACTCCTGTGTGCTCCCATTTACCGGAGTACCCCAGGACTCCAGAGGTCTGTTACTGCTGGAGTCCAGGACCACTCCAGTTTGTTAGATTCCAACACTGCAGCCTCCAGCCTTTTCCCTCTATCTCCCAGCCCCTTCGCAATACCTTTACTTCGTTTTGCCTTTTGCTGTACTCGAGCTTAACTGGCTTTCCCTTCCCTGGCCTTTATTGCCAGCCCCTGCCCCAAGCCCTGCTGGCTTCACTTGCTGCCGCTGTGATCCCATCCTGAACACACCCCCTTCTCCTGGGAGCCGGCCTGGGCTCCTCCTCCTTGAAGACTCAACTCCAAACCCCGCCCTCCAGGAGGTTCTCACAGCCCATCATGAGGAAGTGCAGCGCCCCTTGACCTCGCATGTCCAGATGGTCCTGTTGTTGGCACCCCTGGCCGCACTGGACCCCAGAATATGCAAAAAGATGTAGGGAGTGCTGCTATTCTTGCAAGATGAAGCTTAACTTTCTTTGTGGCACCTTCCCTGGTCCCCACTCTTCACAGTACCCAGTGTTGGAATCACCGTTCTCTGTTCCATGAGATTGTGAGCCTTTCCTGTGACTGGCATATATGGTAAGGGCTTAGCAAATGTTTGCTGAGTGAGAAGTGTTTCTTTCCCCCTGGAAAATTATAGTCTGATCGGGAGGATTAGATCATAGAAATATAGGGGAAAAGCCTCACGAGGTGATAGAGCCTGAGGACCAGGCTGGCTGCATTGATGATTGTTTGTTGGCTCCTTCTGCCCTTGGGGTGTCTATTCTGCTTTCTAAGTCACAACGGACAAGGGTCATCACTTCTAATTTACTTTAACCCACCTGCCACCTGGTCTGGGGTTCTGCACCCAGCAGGTGCTCATTGTATGTCTGAGTGGACCAGAAGGTGTGAGATGGTTTGCTCTGACCCAGGACAGGGCTACCCACGTACAACCCTAACAGCCACTAGGCTAAGTCTAGGTTCAGTCCTCAGAAACTGCAGAAAAATTAATCCCAAGTTCTTCTCTTCTTCTCCTTCTCCTCCTCCTTTTCCTCCTCCTCTTCTTCTTTCTTCTTCTTTCTTCTTCTTCTTCTTCTTCTTCTTCTTCTTCTTCTTCTTCTTCTTCTTCTTCTTCTTCCTCTTCTTCCTCTTCTTCCTCTTCTTCCAACAAATCATTGTTTCAAATTAAATCGTAAGTGGAAGCCCAATGTAAACAAACCAGTTACACCAGTTAGACCTGTAGGTAAGGATTGGCATGGCTCTGGTTGAACGAGGGACCCAGGGCACGGGTGCTCACCCACACACATCATGCACTGCAGCCCCCAAAGCACCTTTCTGGACCCTGGGTTCCACAAAGCATGCTGTGAAAACCCATATCCTGAGCCAGCCACTAAGTTACTCAGGAACGTCCCCTCTACCCCATCCCCCTTGCAGCCTTCCTTAGAGACTTTGGGATAAACGAATGTGAGTTACATGAACCTGATCTGCAGGGGTGGAGAGCAGCAGTTTCTCCCAGTCACCTATTAGATGGGGGAGATGACACTTAGGAGGTGGGACCCTCCTCCAAGCAGAGTCCTCACGTTCATCCCTTGGGAGACAAAACCTAAATCTTCCTTGATCAGAACCTTGGTAGACCAGCTCTCACTTCTCCACTTGCAGAAAATTGTACAGGAGAGTTGAGAACACACTGGACCAGAGCCAAGACAGTCACCTTTGCATGCTGGCTCCAAGACTAACTTGCAAGTTAATCAGGACCGGCCAAAACCACCTGGGAAAAGGATACCTCTCTAGTCCAACTTTCAGAGTGGTTTCAAGGGTTGGCGGGGTGTGGTGGCTCCTGCCTGTAATCCTGGCACTTTGGGAGGCCGAGGCAGGGGGATCACTTGAGGTCAAGTGTTCGAGACCAGCCTGGCCAACATGGTGAAACCCTGTCTCTACTAAAAATACAAAGAAAAAAAAAAAATTAGCCAGTGGTAGTAGGTGCCTGTAATTCCAGCTACTTGGGAGGCCGAGGCTGGAAAATTGCTTGTACTCAGGAGGCGGAGGCTGCAGTGAGCTGAGGTTGCACCACTGCACTCCAGCCTGGGTGACAGAGTGAGACTCTGTCACACACACAAAAAAAGAGTTGTTTCAAGGGTCAAAAAAGCCACCTTGCATGTCATGTACAGGCAGCAGCTGTTTGTGGGCTGGGCAGTACAGGCCGGCTTTTCTGCCTTTCTTTGGAGACAAGTGAGCCCAACACTGTGTAGGAAGCATATATTATATGTACTTAAAAATGTTTTTCTTTTTCTTTTTTTTTCTTGAGACGGAGTCTCACTCTGTCACCCAGGCTAGAGTGCATGATTTCGGCTCACTGAAACCTCCACCTCTTGGGTTCAAGCAATCCTCCTGCCTCAGCCTCCCGAGTAGCCAGGACAGGTGTGTGCCACCATGCTAGCCTAACATTTTTATTTTTGGTAGAGACGGGGGTTTCACCAGGTTGGCCAGGCTGGTTTCAAACTCCTGGCCTCAAGTGATCTACCCACCTCAGCCTCCCAAAGTGTTGAAATTACAGGCGTGAGCCACTGCGCCTGGCCTACAGTCACTGCTAATTCTCACTATCACCCCCTGACAACACCAGGCAAATCTGAGGTGCAAAGACAGTGAGTAACTTGCTCCAGGTCTCACACCTGGAGGGTGGGATCACATCTTAGCTCACATCTCAGTGACTTCAAGGCCAGAGTTTTTTAAGGATGCTAAACAGCCTCTTTGCCATTGTTAAGTACTGCTCAGCTGTGTCGTCATTGTTACCTGTTAATTTAGGGGGACCCCAGTGGGAGCTTGGCAGTTTGCCTTTCTGTCTTCGGACACCCATGGGCTGCCATGCTTGGTCCTGCGATTATGAGGGTGTGGACTGTAGAGTCGCATAAGGACTTGACCGCCAGCACAGGGAGCTGGCACAAACCCAGGACTGACTGAGACCATTCATCATGCTTGGGCGAGCACAATTTAAATCTGGAAATTTCTGCTCAGCCAGATTAGAGAACTCTAAATGACAGTATTTAACTGCTGCCTGAGGACCCTGGAGTTTCTCCCATGTGACACTTCCAGAAATGAGGGAGGGATGTGTTCTTCTCTGGCCTAGGAGGAGGTCTTGGACTGGTCTTGTTCCGGAGACACTTGGCATCCTCCCCCTCCACGAACTCCCCCGCCCCGTATAAATATAAATGTTACTGCTGGGGGTGTGAACAAGT